AGAAACCAGTGAAATGACCAATTCCTCAAGCTGCCTCAGGTTGCGCTAACCTGGCAACTCTCAGGATGAGCATTTTTAATGTTGTTTGATGTTATTTGTAAAGAACCACAGCTTCAACACGCTAACCTAGAAACCAGTGAAATGACCAATTACTCAAGTTGCCTCAGGTTGCGCTAACTTGGCAACTCTCAGGATGAGCATTTTTTATTGAAAATAGCTTGAAGACGCTAACCTAGAAACCAGTGCGTTGACCAATTCTTCCAGCTACCTTAGGTTTTCCTAGAGAAATTCCGGTTCATGACCCCCCCCCCCTGACCAAAATGTTTCCACGTTAGTGTCTTTTGAGGACCTTGTGGTTCAAACCAACTTACGCGGTGTTCCCCGGTAATAGGCTCCTTGCAGGTTTCCATGTTGGTTTGGCCTCGTAAATCACCAGATCCCACGGTGGTTAAGGAAAGTGTACATCTTTACTCTTGACCAACTCGCTCTGCCACCACATCTCCGCATTTTCATTGACGCCAACATGAACAGCACTTTTTACCCGACCAAAGCCCGCTACTTCCCTTCCAGACGGCCTTCACAAAATGGCTTCGACTCCAAGGACTTCCAACGTCACTCACCCAGCACCTGGAACCTTTCCTACAACACCAATGGCGACTCCACACCACTCATCTCAAACAGCACCCGCGCTTCCGCCCGCCTTCTCAGACAACTTCAGGCGTACCTGGGAGACAACGTCGTGCTTCACCACGCGGACCATGAACTCCAGCAACTCCGGGTTTTCTGCCCACGCCAATACTTTACAGGAGCACTCAACACATGGCAGCTCCCGAACCTTTTGAACCACTACCCCACCTCACTCCAACAAACATCCACGAACACCTTGCAGCCACCATTCCAGCCAGCCTCCGTTCTAGATACAAATGGGGCTTCCGCAAAGACTTTACCATTCCCTATGGGGTCGTCCATCTCAAGCCCAAAAAACAATGGAAAAAGAGCCGTACCATCATCTCTTACTACCACTCCATGGCCGGCAACCTCCTCCGCATAACCAGTCGAGCACTTGACATCATCCTACAACATCTTTTCCCACAGCGCCCAGGACAGCTATCCATCCCACAACTTTGGCGCCACTTCCACTCGTACCTCTCCCAGACCCCCACCGATGTCACTCTACATGCCACCAATGACGACCTCGTCGGTTTCTTCAACTCAGTCCCACAACATCGCCTGATAGATGCAGTCCATTCCATGATCCAACAATGGCAAACTCAGCAGTCGACTCACACCTTGACAGTCGACACCAAGGCAACCGGCAATCCCTTTCACCACTCCCATGTTGGCCGACACCATTCCAAGCATCCCACACAACGCGCACTCCACACCTCCGACATCACCACTATTGTCACCTTCGCACTCAACACCTGTATTTTCCGGGCATGCAAGACAGTAACACCTATACCGTATACCAGCAAATTCGAGGGGCTGGGATTGGCTCCCAACTCTCTCCTGCCCTATGCAACGTCGCCATCACCCTGATCGAACATTCTTGGCACCAACTTCACAACAACCTGCTCCACCACACAGCCCTCCACTTTTCTTACTACCGCTATGTCGACAACCGCTTCATCGTACACAACGAAACCTTCCTCTCCGACCCAGCCATACAAACACTGATTCACCACAACTTTTTCGGCGATCCCGTCGAGCTGGAAACCGTGGAGGACTTCCCCCACCTCCACCGGCATTTCCCGCACCTACACAATGTCCCCCATTTCCCGGATCCCACCTCCACCGGCATTTCCCGCACTTACACAGTGTCCCCCCCATTTCCCGGATCGTGCTCGCACATCCCCGGTTCCCTTCCTTCCCTCACCTCCTGGGATTCAGTGATCCCTTCAGCAGTCACTGCCTAATAAAGACACTGCTGATCGGATGTGATATTCGGAGAGGACGCTCTCTGAACGTACCTGCTGAGGTTTTCCACAAGCTGTTACCCCACTTTTCCACGGTTTGATTCATGGTTCTTCATGATACTTCCCTCAAACCTTCTCTTCTGCCGGTTTTTCTGCAGCTGAGCCGCGTCGATGTCCGCCACCGCAGACATGTCAACAGACTGTTCAAACCATACAAGTGCGCGGACCCTCTCACCTTTCCGCTCCCTCGCAATTTTCCTGGGAATTGAGCTAACTGAAAACCAATGTCAGAGTGTGTCAGCAACGACTAGCTCTTGCCTTGCCCCACGCAAGACTGCCGAGCAAGGAATATGGTCAAGGAGTTTGATCGCAGTTTGTACGTTGAAAGAACGGAGATTGGAAGTGTGCAGGACTTGTGAGGGAGGCATCTCCAGTACGCTTCAAGTTTGTTCTGATGGTCTGACGGTGATGATTCCTGACCAAAGCACAGGTGGAGCCAGAGGTCAAAACGCTCGCAATTGAGCCGTTCAGATCGAGCAAACAAACTAAGCCACCAAGACAGCTGAGAGTCACACATTCCATAATTTCAGTCAAGTGTGTGTTAGCGCTGGAAAGCATGGAGCACAGCTGTCCCGAGGCCCTGAATGTATTGAAGCGTTTGGTGCAGGTGCTGCCAAGGGTGCAAGTCGGAATATGAGCCAAGCCGCCTCAATTCAATCGAGAAAGCACGTACGAGGGCTCCGAGGGGAAATATGATTTGAAGAAGGACGAAACATGTATTGTTGATTCAAACAACTCATACACGATAACTAGATCCATGGTCCATTTTGAAGAGTGTTCTAGGATCCTTGTAGTTTGCTTTCAAGCAGTTGAACATGTGAGGGTGTCTTCCGAGTCTTCCGACCTACAAGTAAGGCTTCAGTTGAGTAACTCTTGCACCAGTCACTGCACTACTGGTTCTCACCTTCGCCTTCTCACTACTGGTTCACACATAATGTGAGCGACTGGAAGGATTGATTAATGGCTGTGTTATGTTCTGGATCATTCGGCGGTCATGAGATGTTTATTACACGTGCTGATTCAGATGGAAAACGATATGGCCCTCACCAAAGAACAAATCCATGATGTGACTACAAAGGTTGGGAGAAGGCGACATGTTCTTGTCAAGCTTGTGAACTTACCCTTGAGGATGTGGATGATAGAAGGATGTGGGGCCCTTGATCAAAAGAGTATATCTCGCTCATGCCCGTTGCCAGTAATCTTGCTAGATCGTACTGCAGATTAAGCAAGGAGGGGAAACCTGAGCAACCAAACCCTTCCAAGAAGAGGTCACATGTGGTGCTTCCAAGGCGTTGAATGGACACACATTTGGTTGATTTAGTACAGTAACTTTATCCCCGTTGCTACCAACAATGTCAATTGGTACCGACAATATAAAATGGGTGTGGTTAGGCGCGCTTTTGGCATTTTATATGACTCATTTAGTAAGAAACACCTCTGACCCACTGTATAACAACCCATTCTATATTGACAGTTTTTGAATAAAATCAGCGTGTTTAACCTCTAGTTTGAATAAAACAAGCGTGCTTAACCTCTATTATTGGTAGCAATGAGGATGTAAGTTTGTTCCCAAAGACAACCAGAATATCAACCTGTCCGTCATTTGCCCAAAACTATCTCATGCCAGAACCAGGGTAGCGTGGAGCCCAAACGAGAATCCAAACGATTACCAACTGATGACCTAACACACACCCAAAGCAGCCTGCAAAGTCACTTCCTCACACTGCGAAGCTAAACCCTTGCTTTTGCACAACACAGCCTTGACCATAAAAGGTACGATGGAAGGTTTCTGCCTGTTGTCCCTGGGGTGGTTTGGGGGTCCCTGTCCCTCGGTTTGACCTGGAGGGCTATCTATATTCATCTAAAAGGGAAGCTGAGTGTGCCTGCCTGACTATGCCATAGTGTTTCCTGAATAGCAAAGATTGGACTCCTCCTTTGCAGAGTAGAACTATGAAAACAAGAGACTCACTAGTCTCCGAACTGAGTTGAGGATCTGAGGAACTACTACCACGACTACGACTGCAACTGCTACTCCTACGACTGCTACTACTTCTACTACTGCTGCTACTGCTACTACGACTACGACTACTACTACTAGTGGGACTCATTCTATTGAGACTCCCTCAATCGTTTGCTGGAGGTGGGTATATATGTGCAAATCAAGACTCCTACATGTTGTTAATGTGTGGAGTTATGTGTGGGGAAGGATTCAAATGTATTCAAATCAAAGGTCGCCAACCGTGCAAATGTTCCATATGGTTGGCTCAACCTGCAATGGCTCGGAACCACAGAACGCCGTGACTCTGGAGCCAAGACCCTCATTTGCACACTCTTTTGCACTCTGGAACCTCTCCTGGTCCCATTGCACTATCCATCCACTTGTTTTGCATTCAGGAACTATACTTTTACCAAGCGACCACATTCACATAAGTATTTGTCTCGTGAGTTTGTTTATCCAACATGCTATTGCTATTTGGGACACTCACATCACAGGAGGAAGAAGCGTGGGCAACTGACTTTATTGCTCGAAGCTCAACAAGCTGCAAGGCATGGTCGAAGTCATTCCGGCTTTTCCAGTAGCGCAACAAACTAAAAGCTCAGGCAACTTCCTTTTCTGTTCTCTACAAGGCCAGCGACGTCTTCCAATCGATTGTTCGTGCACACTTTGGACGCGCTGTTCAATTTGCGAGGTTTTCTGGATATACCCGATCTACTGCATTTCGTTTGTGCTGAACACTGTTATGTACCAAGAGGCCAGCTTTGTCATATGGGCAGAGTGTTATGCAAGTGTCAAGCAGTTGCCACTTTTCACAGCGTACATCAACCCACACAGCTTGGCATCACCCCACGCTTGGCTCAGATCGCAGACAGTGCCCTGGGATTTCTGCAGCGTGCTCCTGTCAAGAGCACTCCCCATTTAGGCATGGACTTGTCAGATGGCCAAAGATTAGTGTGCGTGTACTTGGTTGCCACTCTATATCTAACCTACATGTTCATAATGCATTTCATTTGCTCCCTTTCACGTTACCTATGTTACCTACAGTATGCATGTGCTTTCTTCCAATTATCTTCCAATTTTGCTTTCTCGCCAGAACGCTTGATTCAAGAGACATGGCGTGTTTTGGCATGAACCCCAATCTGCAGAGCTGCAGAGCAAACTCAGCAGTACCTGTTGATATTGAACGTGCATGCCACTTTGGAACCAGTCACTTTGTCCAAGGTCAACCTTGTCTACTTGCTTGAGATGTACTTGGTATCGCTGCCGCAGCATGCCATGCTTCAATATGGACTGAGTTTCAGTGCCAAAGTTGTTGAATACTTTGTTCCATTCTGAACGCCCATCACACGTTGTTTGACATTCCTGCAGCCAAAGACGAGCTTACTACTTCACGAAAGCCTGATTCAACAGATGCTACAAGTCTTCAGATCGTGTGAATATCCGAGCACAAATCAGAAGAATTTGAGCCAACCGTGTCCAATCTTTTTGTTGCCACGATTGCAGCAACATCAGCAGCCTCCAGTCAAAGAGAGTGGTTTGAACAGAGAGTTCGGCTTCTCCGTGCAACATGGGGCAAGGCATCAGCCAGCTGCTGAGAATCCAGATGAAGCAGACGTTTTGCTTGACTTTGAGTCGATCCTTTTCACAAATGATTATGCCAGTAAACTGTCAGCGTGTTGACTCCGTCTCTACAATTTGACTTAGCTTGCTCGAGGCGTTGAGGCTGATCCTGCTGGCCTGAAAGAGCTGTTGAGCGCAGGTGGGCAAACGCAATGTTGAGCTTTCAACGTGGAAACATAATGAGAACATTCTCGCGATGGCCTCCATCCTAAGAGCGATGGCCTCCACCCCAAGAGCGAATAATATAGAGCATGTAATGTCATTTGTATAGCAAACCAAATGCCAACTTTACGTTTAGTAGATGACCAGCAGACTATGTAGATGTGGTCTTCCGCGGCAGGAGGGATTTCAAATGTGTTTTTTCTGTTGTTGGGGGGGGCAGCATTGCTGTCTTAATCTAGCGTCTTTTGTGAATTCTGGATCCACATGGGATACTTGTAACTCAGCTCTTGCTGTTGAATGTGTGCCTTTCAATTCCACCCTGATCCTCAACATGAGAGCTGATGACCATCCGCCCACCGATCCTGCGTCCCGTTATTGCAAGGTGCAGGCACGTTGAGCCACCTTGAGTCGTCTATGACCTGGTTCAGCGGGAGTCGTTCTGGAAATCGGGAAGGTCATGTATGTATCAAAATGTGGTCAGGTACTTGCGCAGTACAATTAGAATCTAGAGATTCTAGAAGTCCACCAGATCGCCATCATCTTCAAAATCGTTCATTGCTATGCACCAATGCTTTAAAGGAAGTCAAGAAGGTGCTGATCAACTGAGGCCCAACGCCATCTCTCTGAACTTGACCAGTTCTCACCATGTGAAGGCGCTTTCACAAATTGCAATTGCACAAGTATCATCAATGATAATAAATTAATATACTATAATGAATCATAAACTATCCATGGCTTTCTATTTTGCCTCACCTACTATTTTGACATTCAGTTCAGCTATTTGCGTTCCACAGGCTTGGTGCTTTGAAGCCCGGGGCAGAAGTGTGGTCGAGGCCGTGTGTCAGGTGGAGGCATCTTTGAGCCACCCTGAAAGACAGTGCTATTTGGTCAGGCCCCTGTAACACTCTGTGATAGAGGAGGTCTCTTCATTGCAAGATTGCACAGGCCTGGATGGATGATGGTGCATGGGGGAGTTTGCTTTAGATGCAATAGAGAAGGGACAGTTGGGCTTTTTGCTGCATTGTAATGATTGGTGTATGACCTGTTTGGAGAGACACCTGCTCAAGGAGCTCCAGCTACATAATCCTGCACATCCGGAAGTCAGCTTCAAGTACAGCCAGGGTCTTAGACGCTAGATGAGATTGCTGAACCAGCAGCCAGGAAGCCAAAGAGTACTATGAGAGACTATGAGTCTAAGTTTAAGTACTATGCGTTTGCTGTATTGGCTTGCATCATAAGGGGTAAAAGCACCGCATCTAATAAAGCGCTGTTCTATTCTATTCTACTTTGAAGCGAAAGCAAAGGCCAGGGATGCAGCACGATCTATCGAAGACAAGCATTGACCCTTTAGAGTATTGATGGTTGTGCGGTTGCACTGCGGTTGATCACACTGAGTTCAGGGCTGGCAGGAGCTAGGAGAAAAACACAAATTTTCATAAATACAATATAATTACATGTTACGTACATGAATTCAGCAACATTTTGTGCATTGTTGATTTCCCTGATTGCACGGCATCAGGACAATTTGTTTCCACCAGCCATGAAGTTAGATGTAGCTGGTCGTTTCGGTTGCATGGATTGCGCAATAAACGTGTAATAAGGTAATCCAAAACGAATGTATGGCTTGAATCTATGTGTACTGCACTGGTGTAGTCGGGTCAAGTGCAATCTGAAATCCAATTGCCTGTCATGCAGCTACCACACAGAATATATATATATGTATAGACTGTATCAATATGTTTTCCATTTCGCTGAAAGGCTCAAGTAGCCCAATGTTTCCGACAATGCGAACATGCGAAAGTGCAGAAGCTGAGCGCGTTGGAGATGTGGATCCTTGGGGAAGGTGGTCACTTCAAGTCATGGAAATGGTCAAGTCAACGCAAAGCAAAGACTTTGTGAACGAGTGAAATGAAGGTGCTATACGACAGGAGCTTGAACGCGGTTTGGAATTGCCTCCAATTCGTCAACACTGTTGGCTTCTCATTCAGACCTGCGCCAAAAATTCAACGGATTGCCCACTAATCAGGCTGATCGCGCAATTGAACACATATACAATATCTGTACACACGCATAAAAAGGAGCCAAGCCTGCTCTACCGTTGCCTTTGTATTTTGATGTGGTGTGTGCAGCTTTCCGTTGTGTTTGCAAGCTTTCGCCTGCAGTTTCCTCGTTTGGTTCTTGTTTTAGGTGTTTGAGCTTCTCTGCTGCACAGCTTTGAACAAACCTGAACCACCATGATGAGACTGGATGCAGCAATAGTACCCAGATATTAGCAAGTCACCTCATAGGTGCTTGATAGTCCCCTGACCCCTGATCCCGCTTGTAGGCCGTGGCCCTCGTTGTTTGCTTTCCAGCCATTGTTCTCCTAACATTATATATATATAGTTCGAAGTGTGCAACCACACCGAATCACTATGCTTTCTTGGCAAGCAATTGCAAGAAGCGGTCCTCCCTGCACACAGTCCGCAAGAATTCGGAAATGTGTTCACGAGCTGCATGCAGAAGACTTCCGCCCATAACATTGTTACTACTAGTAAGGCACTTGTTACTAGAAGCGATGCACTTGTTACTAGTAGCTTCTTGTTTCTACATCTCAGGCAAAACCCTTTGTTCTTGCTGCTCTCAATGACTTTGCCAGCGAAGCAGGCAAAGGGTGTGAAGACAGTTGCGTTGTGTTGCGCTGTGCTGTACATGCGGTTGTTGCAGCAAGGGTCTGCAGATTGGAAGATTCGGGTTGGTATCAGCCGGAAACGAAAGAGGTCCTGGTATCACATCCTACTTAAAACCACTTCCTGAACTTTGCTCCACTTTGCACGATGCAGGTGCAATATGCACCCCCAGAGGATTGGCAGTGCCTGAGATAGAATGGAGAGAATTTCAGGACTGCGGCTTCTTCTCATCCATTTGCACTCTGTACCATCCCCATTGCTCCAACAGCAACATGAACACACTCAAAATGCCTTGAATTGACAGTGATTTTCTGTCAAGCCTTCAGAGCCAGATTGGTACAAGAGCAAACACAGTTTAGCGTCATTCAGCTACTAGTTTGACGGTGTTGTCTCTGCAGGTGTGGCCTGGGCACTGCTACGGAGTCTTTGTATGGCATCTCACCTTCAAAACTCCACTCAAAGCCCTTTGTCTCTTACTGGGATGCATCGGCCGCTCCAAATAGATCTCAGGCATGGCCGGAGTACAGAGCCCCTTTTCCGAGTCGAAGCCTTGGGTGATTCACACCTTGACACTGTGCTACTCTTTACTACTCTAACTTAATTCAAGCATTCAGAGACCACTTTAATTCAAGCATTCAGAGACCACTCTTTTGTAGCCTCACTTTCAGGCAGAAGTGCGGTGCAAAGCCTGGGAACTGGACAGTGCACCCGCCAAGCTTACAGCCTTTGGCTTTTTGGCAAGCCAGTTGTCCGCTTACTTCTGAGACTGCAGTGCTGGTGCTGTGGAAGAGTCTTAGCGACTGTGGGTAATGTCATCTATCTAAATTTATTGTTTTGTTTCTGGGACTGCAGTGAAGGTGCTCTTCGCAAATCGCTTCCTATTCAGAGGGAGTTTGCTGAGTCCCTGAGGCCGCAAAAAAGGTAAATGGATCATGTATGATTATTTCATGTGAGGTAGCAATTGGTAATAGATTACTCCAATCGGGATAGCCCGACAGCGATCTCTTCGATTCAGTGAGACTCAACAACTCAGCAGCTCGTTCAGACGATGCATTTTTAAAGCCCGCCCTCACTTAATTAAGTAGGCGCTTGCTTTATTAAGTAAGGGGGCAGTTCGCTTCTAGCAATAGGACAATAGGACGCTACTACATAATATGGACGCAGGATAGCTCGGGCTTGGTCCAGGACGCTCCCCCGCCTGAGGGCGGGGGAGCTTCCTTGAAGAAATGCTCGCACTATTGATTTGGTTCCTAGATTTTACGGAGGTTTCCTGATGTTGTGATGTTTGCATGATTTCATCACCCATGGTTGACCACAGGCGTGCCGTGATGATCAGAGGATGTCAGGATTATTGAGTAAGTGCTTTCTGCGTCGCACAATTGCTGCCGTCCTCGCTGTGCGCAGGACGTTGCTCCAAGAGAGGCCTCCACGCAAGCTTCACAGGAGCCAATGCTGACACTCATGGCACGGGAAGTGCAGCTGAGTTCACAACATGCGCAGGAGCTTGTGCGCAACAGCCTACTGTCAAAGCTGACAGCTGCCTCTCGAAGGAAATTTGTAATGTTGAATCAGTTTATGTCAGCTTATATATATACAATATGGGATAACATTTGTAACAACCTAGCAAAGAAACTCAATGTGTAGGAAGTAGAAGGTTGTAAAGACTAGACTATGAGAAAGACTGACATTGGGCAACTAAGGCCATCCCTGAGAAAGGCAGAACTCAATGTCCATGGCCGCGTTTGGGTCGTTCTGTCCTGGAAGGTGAAAGGACTGCTCTCACAAGCTGCAAGCAGCTAGACT